GTGCGTGCTGGCCGGAGAGGGTGGGGGGGGGTAAAGAGAGCCTGGGGTGTGTGCCGGCCGGGGAGGGTACGGGGAAAGAAGGCCTGGGGTGTGGCGCTGGGGAGGGTAAAGGGGAATCGGAGAACAATCTAAATTTAGTCATATTTTCTAGAACTTGTCAGGACAAATGAATTGGCAACATTGTATCCGGTGTTGCTTTAAATGGAGAAGCATAAAAGTGGGTCCCCTATAGAATCTGAATATTCTACATATTGGTGGCGGATCTCACGGCTCAGCGGTCATTCATGTGGGTGATGACATGTGATGTGTGTACGGTGCCATTATTATCAATGGTACCCCAACATGCATACACAGATGGAATGGGTTTTGAAGAGCTTGGGGAATGCGGCCATTTTAAATATGGACTAAACACTCGGTCTCAAAGCCTTTAACAACTTCTGGAGGTGATGGAAATCATGGCAGGAGAAAAACTTTATCCAATTCACAAGTATTTGGGCACTACGTGTTTTGTGTGGTGACACCTGCCTAAAGTGGACCCCCACCCCAAACTTACCTAATGCAAACTTCCAAACCTCCTGGAACTTGTATAGCAGCTGACATTGAAGGATTAATGATCCCTTTTTTTTTTCTGCAATTCGGTTTAATTCTGACTTTCGGCATTCATTTTGAGTTGAGATTTTTGTCTTTTAGGAATGTAGAAATTGTTACATAGTAATCCTTTTTCTCCCTCCGTTTCAGTCTGCCCGGCCGGATGGCAGCCCGGAAGTGACACCATCAAACCAGACGTCAAAAAGAGCAAAGAATTCTTCTCCAAACAAAAGTAACGGCGGGAAGTGCTGCCCTACGTAGTCGGCCGCCCCGGCCATCCCCCTTTTGCTGTGTAGAGTGAAAAGTATTTTGTAGTAAAATATCTTATAAAGGTGGTGATGTCACTGGTGTAGATGGCGTCATTGCGGTGACATCGGCAATGCCTGTCTCGTAGGATGGCGGAGTGTCCGCGGTGTAACGTTCTTGTCTTGTCACACTTTTGAATATTTTGTAAAATACCAAATAAAGATCTGTGTGAGATCGGCAGAATTGTCTCGTCTGTTGAATATGGGGGGGAGAAACGACAAATCACATGGGTATGGTAGGGGGAGGGACAATGGAGAGATGAGGATGGTAGGAGGGGAACGTAATGTGGGTATGGTGGGGGGGAAGGACACAATGCATTCACAGGGGTGTTGTGGGGTCGGGGTAAGCAGCATGGTGCAGTGACATGGGCATCTCATAGATGAATCTGGTGGGTGCAAGTTCTTACTGATATCTTGGCCTCCGTTATTTCACCTCACTTCCTGTCCTGCTAAAAAAAAAGGCTTTAATTTCCGTCTCTGAAGATGAGGGATGTCCGTGTGTTGGTGCCAACCAAGTTCACCCATGCAAACCTGTCGGCGACATCTTCCCAGCCCAATCACCTGAGGCCAGGGCATTCCACACCCTTTTTTGTTACATGTAGCCACAGATCATGGAATTTCCCCTCACTTCCTGTCTGGTGAAATATTTCTTAACAGTTACATTGTGGTTAAAGCATCAAACACTCTTATTTTAATCCATTTGAATGGAGTACCGAATAATTACACATTAATGGGTGCTCATCTAGGGAAGTCAGAGATGAGAAGGTTTGGGAGTTATAGTAGACCATAGATTAAATAACCGCACACAATGCCAGGCTGCAGCACACAAAGCGAGCAGAGTCCTGTCTTGTATTAAAAGGGAATGTTCTGTAGAGACCAAGCAATCATTTTGCCACTTTATAGATCTCTGGGTCGGCCTCATCTGGAGTATGAGGCCCAGTTTTGGTCACCAATCCACAGGAAGGATGTCCTGGAGCTGAAGAGTTTGGTTGGTTTTCTTTGGACTAATTAATGGTCTGAAGGACCTAAGCTATGAGACGAGGTTGCTAAACTTAAACTTGTTTGTGCTGGAAGTGATGAGATTAAGGGGGGACATGCCTCTGATGTACAAAAATGTTTTTAGTGGTGATGGCAACATCAGCAATTAACTTTTTACTGTAAATGCCATAACGAGGACTAGAGGCCACCACCTAAAACTGGTGGAGAAAAGATTTAGCCACAAGAGGCGGAGGGGATTCTTGGTTACATTTTGGAACTCTCTGCCACAAGCAGCTGTATCAGCTGAGATTATTGAATCATTCACAAATCTGATACCTTCCTAAGACTGTAACCTACAGGGGTATGGGTAAACTAAAATACTAGACCACACAGGCACTCATACACACACAAAGGTTGAACTTTATGAACCTGTCCCCCCCTAAAAAAAAATCTGCTCTGAGGACTGAATCCTTCACAGGGCATTGTTTCTTCCATATTTTAGCCCACTCTTACCTGTTAATTGCCGATGGCTTCACATTGCTGTGTGCTGCTTCCCTGAACTTTTTAGGGATGTGCATCGCAATTTGGCATTTGGACAGTGCAGGCTCTGGTGGCTGTCAATCTGCTCGGAGGTGGGAGGAGCAGGAGGAGTGACCTGTTATAGGCTTCTTGTACTCTGTGTGGATGGACACTCTGCTATAGTCTCAGTGGGGGGGGGGGGTGGGCAATGGAGGCACCATAGGACCCTTCGAGGGGATGGAGCCACCATAAACCAGGAATTGGTAAGTCATTTTATGATGGATGAAATACAATGTAACCACAGGCTCTGAAAGAAAGACGCCGCCAACCTGGAAGGTGCCACTACAGGCATTTCACACCCTAATGCTACGTACTGGATGGACCATTGTATAAAGAGACTGTGCTGACACTCATGGAATTGGCTAGCAAACAGACGCCTCCGTCTCCTCCCGTGTAATAGAACGCGCACACTAAATGGATTATCTACTACTCGTGTGCAGGCATGTCAAGCTTCAGACATGGCTTCAGAAAGTGATTCCACGTAATAAAACTTAAGAGACGGCTTCCATTCACTGTGACGTGTTTCAGATTTATGAGTCCTCGCTGCAGCAATCAGGAGGAAGGTCGGCTTCATAATAAAGTGTTTTGTTTTTCTTTTTTACACCTCTATTTTTTCTTGGGAAAATAGAAACGACAGACACAAAAAATAAAGAGGGTAAAGGAGACGTCCAAAGACACTTCACATGATAATCATATATGCAAATAAAAGTAAATTGAGGTCTTTCCAGTTGAAAAGATGGAGGTGTACGAGGAGTATGTGCACAGGTAGTGGAGGAGAATGGCTGACTTAGAAATAATAAACCATCCCTGTATATAGAGAAAAGGATGAACTCCGGCCCACAGCCCCTGAGGAAGTCTAAGGATGTAATGCATAGGGCGGAGCTGGTGATGTCATTACATTGGGTGGGACCTAATAACAGCACATGAGGAGACGGGAATGATGGTGTCCCCAGTGTATATGGAGAGCAGCAATGCGATACTAGATCTGCATCACTTACAGTGGACCCAAATAAGTGTGAGTTCAGATGTTCTTTTAATAAGTTCCTATATCCTATCATATGGTTGTCTGTATTATACGGGCTGCTCTATGGTTTTAGTTTAACTACCTTTGAGCTTAACCACGTTAGATCGGGGGTGGGCAACCTGGGCACTCCAGCTGTTCTGGAACTACAAGTCCCATGTGGCATTGCAAGACTCTGACAGCCACAGACATGATTCCTAACGCAGAGGCCTGATGGGATTCATATTTTTTTCAGTTAGAGTAGAAGTTCTAATATACATCAGTATGCTTTGTCCCCACCATCAGCCACACAGCAACCAAATTGGGGTAAATCCTGTCACCCCGTTCTTCTCAAGGATCCTGTTAAGCATTAAGTCACTCGTTCTATTTTTTGGAACCAATCAGCAAGCCCAGCACCAGCCAGGCATCAAAAAATTCTAGGAAACTCATAGTTGTCCCTCTCCACGGAAATCTTTAGTAAAAGGCGAAAGATTTATACGATCTGAAGAGAAACCAGAGTATAAAGGAGAAACGCGTTGCATGAGGACTCCGGCAGCAGACAGGTGTTGCTCAACCCTCGGAGACTCCATCATCCATTCCGGCTTCCGAGCAACTACAACCAGATAGAAGGCGCACCACTGATACAAAATGACACAGCCAATAGAAAAAGAATATAGCACTTCAAATGAGAGGACATATGCTCTGAAATACATCAGGCTCATGCAAATATAGCCAAGGGAAAGGACAGCCGACCGCAGAGGATGATGGGAGTATTCATCTACACACAGCGCTGAACATCTCACTGAACAAAGATACACAAGTGAGGACTGGACAGTCAGTGGGAGGAGCCGCACGCTTGTGTACTGTCTGTGATACATTTTATTTCCATTTACAGTTACTTTGCTGCAGTTTTAACCTCTTGCCGTCCGCCCGTAGTAAAAAAACGGACGGACGGCACTGCAGCATCTGCGGGTTGCCGTCTGCAGACGGCAATTAGCCACAACGACACATGGAGAGGGGGACACCTGGTGGTCAGTCGGAGGAACTGCAGCCAAAGTTCATATAGGAAAGGAAGCTCCCAGTATAGAGAATATGGGGGAGGGCGGGGCCTAGTCAGGCAAAGTCCGTAGAAATATAGGGGGTGGAGCCTGGTCAGGCAGAGATTTGAACGTCTAGATGAGGCGGGGAAACTCTGGCAGAAACTCTGACGTTGTGAGAGGGCGGGATTTGGAAGGGGTTGCCTTCTGTCACATGACCAGCCACGGCGAGACGAGCGCACGCGCAGCTCGCACGTTTTTTTGACGCGCAGGGCTCCTCCCCCACTTGTGAGCCATCACGTGACATCCGATTCCTCGCCACCTTCAGTCTGAACAGCTCCATTCGGGTGCGCGGGCCGGTGAGAGGAGTAAACATGGCGGCGGTTCTGCAGCAAGTCCTGGAGAGGGCCGAGCTGGCCAAGCTGCCCAAGGCTGTCAACACCAAGCTGGAGCGCTTCCTGTCCGACCAGCAGGCGGAGATAGAAGCCATGAGGTCCAGGCATGAGAAGTACAAAGTGGACTGCGGTATGGAAGGGAGGGGGGGTCGCGGAGTGTGTGAGGGGGGTTTCTTTATTACACTGGGCACTCAGAGGGGCCCCTATAAGTCACACTGGGGCCCTTCGCTGATTCATTTCAGGGCCTGCTTGTACTGTGCAGTGTTAAGCAGCCCATTCAAAATGCATTAGCTGAAACACATGTACACAAGAGGCACATGGAGGATTGTATGGGGAGCAGTTCATTATGAAAGCAGGGGGCTCTCCCCGGGTGCTGCTGAACGCGGTGCCCCCCTCCCCGGGTGCTGCTGAAAGCGGTGCCCGCCTCCCTCCCCGGGTGCTGCTGAAAGCGGTGCCTGCCTCCCTCCCCGGGTGCTGCTGAAAGCGGTGCCTGCCTCCCTCCCCGGGTGCTGCTGAAAGCGGTGCCTGCCTCCCTCCCCGGGTGCTGCTGAAAGCGGTGCCTGCCTCCCTCCCCGGGTGCTGCTGAAAGCGGTGCCTGCCTCCCTCCCCGGGTGCTGCTGAAAGCGGTGCCTGCCTCCCTCCCCGGGTGCTGCTGAAAGCGGTGCCTGCCTCCCTCCCCGGGTGCTGCTGAAAGCGGTGCCTGCCTCCCTCCCCGGGTGCTGCTGAAAGCGGTGCCTGCCTCCCTCCCCGGGTGCTGCTGAAAGCGGTGCCTGCCTCCCTCCCCGGGTGCTGCTGAAAGCGGTGCCTGCCTCCCTCCCCGGGTGCTGCTGAAAGCGGTGCCTGCCTCCCTCCCCGGGTGCTGCTGAAAGCGGTGCCTGCCTCCCTCCCCGGGTGCTGCTGAAAGCGGTGCCTGCCTCCCTCCCCGGGTGCTGCTGAAAGCGGTGCCTGCCTCCCTCCCCGGGTGCTGCTGAAAGCGGTGCCTGCCTCCCTCCCCGGGTGCTGCTGAAAGCGGTGCCTGCCTCCCTCCCCGGGTGCTGCTGAAAGCGGTGCCTGCCTCCCTCCCCGGGTGCTGCTGAAAGCGGTGCCTGCCTCCCTCCCCGGGTGCTGCTGAAAGCGGTGCCTGCCTCCCTCCCCGGGTGCTGCTGAAAGCGGTGCCTGCCTCCCTCCCCGGGTGCTGCTGAAAGCGGTGCCTGCCTCCCTCCCCGGGTGCTGCTGAAAGCGGTGCCTGCCTCCCTCCCCGGGTGCTGCTGAAAGCGGTGCCTGCCTCCCTCCCCGGGTGCTGCTGAAAGCGGTGCCTGCCTCCCTCCCCGGGTGCTGCTGAAAGCGGTGCCTGCCTCCCTCCCCGGGTGCTGCTGAAAGCGGTGCCTGCCTCCCTCCCCGGGTGCTGCTGAAAGCGGTGCCTGCCTCCCTCCCCGGGTGCTGCTGAAAGCGGTGCCTGCCTCCCTCCCCGGGTGCTGCTGAAAGCGGTGCCTGCCTCCCTCCCCGGGTGCTGCTGAAAGCGGTGCCTGCCTCCCTCCCCGGGTGCTGCTGAAAGCGGTGCCTGCCTCCCTCCCCGGGTGCTGCTGAAAGCGGTGCCCCCCCCCCTCCCCGGGTGCTGCTGAAAGAGCTGCCCCCTCTTCCCGGGCGATGCTGAAAGCGGGGTACCTGACTAATGGTCTCAGCAGATTTGGAGTGAGATTTGGTGATGTCGCTACTGTGCGGCTCACTGTTCTCCTTGCTTTTTTTTCTTCTTCTAGCACAGTGCCCGGTCCTCTTTAACCCCCTTCCTGCTACCTGGAGCTGGCTGCTGGGCTTCCCTGTGATCATGAGCCCATCTTACCGCCTCCTGATCATCAACAGTGAACAGGAGCCGACGGTGATGGGGCAAGTCTCTGTTCTGGGGGCACCGAGAGAGTGCGATCCCAGCACATAATCAGTGACAGTGCAGCATTAAAGCCCATCGCACTGCTGCTACATACGTACATACATACATACATACATACATGCATACATGCGTGCAGCCTGTGTTTGGTAGCAAACCTTCCAGGCAGACAAATGCAGAGAACTGAAACCTTACAAAGTTTTTTTTTTTTAGCAATCTCCCATCAGGTTCTGTTTCATGCTTTTTGTCTTTTATATTCTGTTCATAGAACAACAATACTTCGATATCGAGAAGCGTCTCATGCAAAGCCAAGAACGTCTCGTCTCCGGGTCGCAGGAGTGTCAGAGTTTACGAGAACAGCTCAATAAGAAAAGTAAGAAAATTCAGCTTCTCTGGATATTCAGTGTTCTGAACACTTGAAATTCCATTTCTGCAAAGTATATATATTTTATATAAATGTATTTATTTTTTAAGGTGAAGAGGAGAAAGAACTAAATGAAAAACTGAAAGACCTCGACACCTCCAATAGTCGCCTTTTGGCCCTGCAGGTAATTTGTGCCACTGAAGTTCTATAAACACTGTTTTGTTCAGTTTCATTGTTTCTATACATTGCTCAGAGGGAGATGGAGATACAAAGTAACATTGTTTATAAACATTGATCAGAGAGAGAGATTCAAAGTAACATTGTTCCGACTACAGAGAGATTCAAAGTAACATTGTTCCGACTACAGAGAGGGATACAAAGTAACATTGTTCCGACTACAGAGAGATTCAAAGTAACATTGTTCCGACTACAGAGAGGGATACAAAGTAACATTGTTCCGACTATATAGAGAGATACAAAGAAACATTGTTCCGACTACAGAGAGATTCAAAGTAACATTGTTCCGACTACAGAGAGGGATACAAAGTAACATTGTTCCGACTATATAGAGAGATACAAAGTAACATTGTTCCGACTACAGAGAGGGATACAAAGTAACATTGTTCCGACTACAGAGAGGGATACAAAGTAACATTGTTCCGACTACAGAGAGATTCAAAGTAACATTGTTCCGACTACAGAGAGATTGAAAGAAACACTTT